AACCAGCATTTTGAGTAACAAGTGCACAACAGAGTATAGACATTCAAAAGACGAGCACCAATAACTTGAAAACTGACACTCCTAGTACCCCCATCACCCCCCGCCCCCCAAAAGCCACTAACTGTACAGGGAAATCCAACTTTCCATAGCCTCGTACTGATAAAGAAAACTGAACTGCCTACAATGCAAGTGATTCCATTTGCCTCACATTTAATTTTGTTAACTTTAAACACCAATTCCCCAAAAGAATGAAACTGGAAGCCTATTCTTTTTGAAACAATATCAACATCAGGACCCTCCATATCTCATCATCTCAAATCTTCAACTACAATTCTTCCCTATTCATCCATAGGGGCTACAAAAGTCATAACTTAATTTCTGATTTGAACTGCCATTGAAGCAACTTATCGTCCATTTGATATGTACACTTTAGCATATCCAACACATTAGGACTGAAATTCCACCTCCTATTCTCAATAACACTCTCTGTCATTTTAATTTTTCCAGCAATAACAATCAGAAGAGCATGACAAATAACATCGTCTACCACAGAGCACTGACCAGACTTTTAAGCTTTACCTTGCATGTGAGATGTGACGTGAACTTTTGACAACATGAATAAGAAGTAACTATATATATAATTTATGGCCTGTTGTTGGATTGCCTCATAGAAAAATTGGCAATAATAATCACTCATTTTAAAACCAATTTTATATATATATAAAGTTAAGCATTCTACTAACTATTATTGCCAATTTTTCTATGAGGCAATCCAACAAAAGGCCACAAATTACACGCAACAAGTAACTATATATATAATTACACCAATAGTTGCTCTAAAATACAAATAAGAAGTTATATAGTTCCATGCAGTAAAAGTCAAACATTCTGGCTTAGAGGGGAAAGTAAGCATGGTTTTGAACAAAATAAAAAGTGAAACAAGTTTTCCTCATTAAAGTCAAATCATCAACATGATATAATGAACAGTACGTTTGATACTACACTTAATTATAAGAAGAAAGAAATAGGGGTGGACCTGTGTGAGGTAGAAAGTGACAGACTGACAGTGGTAGCAGCAATGCCCCCAGCCCTGGACGTCTGTGGATAGAAGGACCTCAAGCCATCATTGAGAGCTTCAAAGAATTTAGTCATTTCAGCTTATTCATAGATGACAATGTCTAACCAAACCCAATTTACCGATAGAAAATAACCCCTAAAACAATAACACCACCTAAGGAGAAATAATGAATGGACAAAAAGGGAGACAAACCAAGTAAATTTGATATTATTTCTAGCAAGAAAAGCATATGAAAATACACAAAAAGATAACACGGTTTAAAGAGAAGCTTCAAAACGAAGGAAAGAGTTATCATTACAAATGTTGCATAAGAACTCAAACTTATTTTTATTTGAGTTTGAACAATCACTCATTTTGCTAGATAATTTCATCATCTAGTTGTTGTAGAGAATGAAATCTAGCACTTTAAAACGGATTTGGCACTGGTAAATCACATCTATGCCCTTTTCTTGCAATATGAATTCGGTAAAATGTTGCTGAGTTCGTCTCATTGCAAATGTTTCTTCTAGAGTTCAACATAAACTTAATTTAAATGGGAGAGATACAAGAAGGTATCCTTGGCTACGATTAAAAGGAACAAGCTCCATAAGACCAAGATATAATTCCGGGTCACTCCATGGTGAACATAATCAGCCAAAATCTCACGAACCCCATCCATCGACCTATGACGAATTCCATGATACACATAATAGGTAAAAGCTAGGGCAGCAATCTCAAGAGATAACGTATGAAGCTTTGATGAATAAAAGACCGCCTGGTAGAAACTTGGATAGGTGAAACAAATTGAACCCATCTTCATGTAAACAAGGGAGAACAACAGATATGTACCCGTGAGGTACATTCCAGATACTCTATGCAAGATTGACAAGGTGGAATTAGATTGAGGCCGATAAATAAGAAGATGAGGAGATAATGGGCGAAGGACATTCTTATGATCATCAACATTAGTTTCTCCCTTACCAACATTTATCTCATTATCTACAAAAGGAAAAAAATAAAAAACAAAAGACAATGGTTAAAATCTTAAAATAGCACAAAAACAAAGACAAGAAATGAATCAATATGATAGTGTAATATAAACAAGTCACGTGACAACTACAATTGTGTTTAAATACATCTCATGAGTTTTTTTAATTTTGAATTAGTTCATATAGTTCTTGGTAATTTCATACTTTTGCATTTTACTCTATTACAGTCTCACACACCCTATTTTGACTATTTTTAGTGATTTAAAATAAAGAGAATATACCAAGTGGAATTATTTTCTCTCATTTATGCTTTCAAAATATCAACTTTAGTGACCGCAAATGTGTTGCATCTAAAAATAAACAAAGGAAGTATAAGCTACATGTTTTTTCTATAGAAAAGTTGTGTTAGGCTATATACTTTCAAACTTAATACGTTAATAGTCATTTGGTTGACATAAAATTACACTGGAAGTTGAATGAATTTGGCCAATTGGTTGGTAGAAGATTACTCTGATTCTCCTAACACAACGTTCTATCAACCAACCACTTAAAACCTTTTTCAAAGAATCATATCAACAAAAAACAAATAGCTCGTAATTCTGGTATAAATTTTCACTAGCCAATAGAGCAATGCATAAACAATCCATACAATTTCCAAAGTGTGCTCCGAATTAAGTTCTGAAAACACGACAACTCTCGAACCAATGTGATTAAAACACTTCTACTCTACTAAGAAAAAAGGCAGTTAGATCTCTTACCTCTCATCATCAGCAATCAAACAATCTTTTAACACCGAGGGGATAATTTGAAACAATTATATGACCATAAAAAAGGCTGGTTACTTGAATTATTACCTAAATTCTTTGTGGCAGCAGTGGAGAAGTATCTGGCAAAGCTAGGATTAGCGAAATCGGGGCGAGAAACAGGCGAAAACGAAGGACTAGCCTGTTTTCCAGTTCCAGCACCAATTGATGAAAAATAAGCATTGAGAAACCCTAGCCCTTGCTCACTGCTGCGTGGCGAGATTCCGACCGATTGATTAGCAATTCTAGCTCCATATCCCTCACAACCAAGGGTCTACATACACATCAATCAAAAAATCAAATTCAAATTGATTGAAACAACAAACTCATTCTTACGAATTTCTAGGTTAAAATCAATCATTTTAATCATTGAAACTGAAATTTTTCATTGATTTTGAATTGAATTTGCTTGATGATTTCAGTGATTTATAATGAATTGTAAACTGATTTATACAGATTAAAATCGAATTATAACTGTAAATTGGCGAAATATACAGAAATTTGAAGAAATTAAGGATGAAACTTACAGCATTGAAGAGAGAAGAGCGAAAAGATCTGGAGATAGAACGTCCGATTCGAGAAAGCATCATCTTGACGATAACGAAGAGATGATCTGAAGATGAATGCAGAGAATTTCAGTAGCTTGAAAATTTCTGAATCAAAATCAAATGAAGACGTCAGAAAATTTAACCAGAAAAGAAAAAAAAGAATTGGAGGAGAGAGAAAATACTCAAAATAGGTGAGCGTAAAACCGTAATGTGACAATAATTGTGGTTTGTGGGGTGATCAAATGAGTTCTCAACCCAAATTGGCTTTTTGGTGGGGTGATTAATTATTTAATTATAATTAGAGGAGCAATTTTCATAGATAATGCTAAAATGTAAATTAATCCCGTATGTATATCAATTTTAAAACTATTTTCCGCAATATCATTCACATAGTCTCGGATTCGAGCTTTATTTTTTATTTTTTTTAAAACTGCTAACAACGATGGCGGTTCAACATACCATTAGCGGTTGTATATTAAGTATAACCCCTAATCAAGATACGGGGGGCCCACCTCCTATCATAGGAGGTGGGATGAGGAATCGGACCCACGCCACTTGTGGGGGAGATGGAGGGACTAACCATGATCCTCAGTCAAAGTCAAAGGTGATGAATGAAATGTCCAAGTGAATGAAATGCCAAGTGACCGTCAAAGGTGATGAATTCGACGGTAATCGGACTTTGGAGTAGTGACCATAGTTTTGGAGTACCACTGGGGTGGTTTATCTTCTCTGTGAAATAATATGGGAGTATTGTGTTTTGGAAGATGAAGACTTTGAAATATTAATATCAATTGAGTACCTAGCTACTAAGGCACTGATACGTGTTTGCAAATACATATCGAGTACCTAATAAGGCCATGAATATTAATTCACCTTATTTTTACTTATTTCAGAAAAAAAAATTCAGAAATTACAAAAAATAAGTTAAGTTTAGATTTTTGTATTATGTGTGGTTTTTTATCGCTAAATATCTTTAATTTCGTAATGAATTTTTTTTTATAAAAATACATATTAATAAATTACTCACTATTTATTACAAATCTAACAATATCCATGTTAACTAAAAAAATGCGATTTGAACCCCTAATCTCATGGAATGAATACGACACATCTTACCATCTTAACTAGAAATAATTTATGATTTATTCATTCACATAAATGTATTTAAATATAGAAAGATGAATAACATTCAAATTAAAAACAAAAAAGACTCATATTACTCTTAATATTTTTTTTTGATATCCACATTATATTCCAAATAATTAATACTAAAGATTTCAAATACTTTATTATAAAAATCTACTCAAAGTAACGTCTCGGGACAACACTCGGGTCACTCACTAATTAGACAATTAAATCAGTCCAAATTAGATCAAATATGACAAATTAGAACAAAAAGAGAGTGAGGGATATCTCTAGTGGTTAGAGTTCTCCTCCCAATACCAAGAGATCTTGGAATCGATTTTCATCATCCGCTCTTGTGGCTCTCTAAACACCAAAAAAAAAAAAAAAATTAGAATAAAACCCCTCAATTTTCACATTTACCAACTCGTCTTAGTTATGATAGCATTGTAAAAATTGGCTGTTAGTAGAGAATCTACTAATGAACAAAGAGATCATTTCTAGACCTTACGCCTTACACCATCAAATTGGCTAATTTGCACCCACAAAAAACCCCAATTAAAGACTAATAAATCCATAAAATTCATAATTGTGGACTAAATTTAAACCCACCCATTTTATGATTCGCGCAATTTGCCAACAACTGATAACTCAAATCCACATACTAAATTTCAACCCTCAAACAAATTCTCCCTCTTTCTCTCTCCTATATATAATCCAGCTTTCTTCTGGGTTTTTGCAACAATTTCTCAAAGTGTTCATCTTTCAAGTTTTAAGCTCAACAATGGCTTCTTCTTCAACCATTCCTTTCTTAGCTGGTACAACAACTACACCTGTATCAAATGGGTTAAGATATGGCCTACTTTCCCATGTCAAAAATTCAAGAGTTGTGTACAATGGCTTGAGAATGGAGGAGAGAGAAAATGAAGGGGTTTGTGCTGCTTCAATGGCGGTAGGAGTGAAATCAAGATTTGGGTCTCTTAGAGGAGGTGGTGGTGCTGTTTTGGATCGACCCAGTTTTGATCAGTCTCAATTTGACCCTTCAACCCAAGTTCAAGAAGGTAGTCTTTTCAATTTTGTTTGTGTTTCTTGATTTTTGCGAATTTTAAAAATTTGTACTCAATTATTATTTGTATGATTTAATTCAAATGGGATTGTTTGTATGAAGTGTTAGACTGTCTGATACAAGAATTTGAGGTTATCTTGTTAGTTCGAGTTCGGGTTTGTCGGATTTAGGTTTGATTATTACAACTGTTTCTTGTTTGAGTGAAAACCTGAATTAAGGATATGAAATGAATGGTTAAACATAAGTATATAACTGAATTTTCAATTGGTATGCTGATAAAATTACAAGTAATCTATTGTCTTGGATCATGAAGTGTTGCTTTATCCTTCATACAATCATACTAGTCGTTTACTGTTTGGATGCTTTTGACATAGCGTTCTTGGTTCTTGCAATTGTTCTGTGTGTATTTAGTTTGTTGTGTTTATTTTGTTGCAATGACATTTGTGTAAAATAATCCAGTTGGGGTTCTTTGTGTGACTATCAGACTGTGTTGTGCAAGAAATAGCGTAATAAGGTTACCGGGTTTGTTGAAGTTTGGTTAGGTTATTACTACTGTTGAGCTTGTTAGAGTGGAAAGTTTTGTGTGTAGGGATATGGAATGAATGGTTAATTTTACTGATCTTTCAATTGGTATGCTGATTAAATTTTAAGGAATCTATTGTCTTGAATCATGAAGTGTTGCTTTAGGAGCAGATATCCTACCCAGCATACTAGTTATATACTGTTTATATACATGCTGCCATGTTGCCGTAGCGTTCTTGGTGAATAGCTGTTAAATTTTTGTAGGAGGAGACATTGGACGGGTAAGGGATAAGAAAGGTACTGGAAGTGGAGACAGTTACAGGGTTTTGCTGCTTGATGATGAGCGCCACACAGAAAAGCTTGGTGAGCGAAAGTTACATTCTGTACAAGTTTGAATGCAACAGAAGTTATGATGATTATCGTTTTTGGTTCTAAGTTGTACCGTCTTTTTATGTTTAGTTTTGAAGGTATTACCCCAGGTTGTTCCATCAGTTACTCCAGACGATGCAAGAATCTTCAGTGAATCACGACAAAATGGTGTTGCAGTGATTATTGTGGCTGTGAAGGTATGCTAATGTCTGTCTTTTGCTCCTAATCCTTCTGTTCAACAAATAAGATATTGGTGTCAGTGTGTTACGTGTTCTTAGCTTTGTTATATGATACCTCATACTCGAATATTGTTGGGCTGCTCATATTTGGGACCAAATTGTACTTTGATTGTATTATACTAGATCTTTTGGCTGATAGCATGCCTTCTCTGTTTCTCCAAATAACTTGAACTAGCACAATAGTTTGGAAATCAGATAGGTTTGATACTGTCTTCTAAACTGAAAATTTTGGTCTTTGGTTCAGATAAGTATTTAGCCCAGTTAAACAAATCAGAATCCACTTTTTAAGTTATTAGTGCAATATCAATTATATGTTTAGCCGAAGCAACTTTGTGGGAATAAGAGCTCTTTAAAGCCCTCTGAGGCATTGACCCTCTTAGTCTCTTAAAACATTAGACTGTGCAGTACACTTGCCTTGAGCAGCTTATAAGTGTTCTTCATTGATACAGGGAATCCATTTGATATGAAATAGAATAGGAATATTTAAAGAGAGAAATGAATTTTCACCATTGATTTCAGCAAAGGCTTCCATGAGTATCTGAAGGAGTGTCTTGTAGTATCTTCCTCTTTAAGTAATGCTCAATTTGAAATTGAAGGAAATGTTGTCGCACCTTTATAAATACTCTGAGTGTAGTTTGATCTTGACTATAATGAAACATGATAGAATTGCACCGGTACTGGGAAAATTATGAGTTACTTGGCAGTTGATGTTAAGTTATTTAGAGTGTTGAAGTGGAGAGCTCGCTCGTGAAAGGCAGGCGCGACCCTCTCCGAAAGCGCGACAAAATCGCGTTGAGTTTCTGGAAATCTGGCAGATTTTAGAGGCGCGCCCGCTCCTCCGGTTGGCGCACCCGCGCCACCGTTTGGCGCGACCCGCGCCTAGGGCGCGACAAAATCGCGCCAGGTTTCTGGAAAATTGGATTTTTGGCAAAACAAGGAAGGAGCGCCCGCGCCCCATGGTGGAGCGCTCGCGCCATTGTGTTGGCGCGCCTGCGCCTTCTCGTTCGCGCCCGCGTTGTCTTCCTCGACTTCGGTTTTGCGGTTATTTCCTTTATATTGAAAGTATGCCTTTCGGTTTTTGTTACAGAACATATATTTTCCTCTCTGAAATTCTCTCTTCTCTACACCATTATTGAAGAAACTTGCAACCTCTTCATTAATCTTCTATCATTTATTAATTGATTGAGAATTTGATCATCTTTCTACACATTTAAGTGCTTAAAGTGTAGAGTTCGTCTATTGTATCTCAAAGCGTATTTCTAGTTCAACCCAAGCACCGTTGTAGGGGAAATTAACGCTTTAGGAAAGTGTTCTTACGCCTTAGACGAGTATCAAGTATCGAAGACTCACGTGGTCCATGGTATTCTCGTGTTCTTGGATGTTCATTTGGCTTGGAGTGAGGCAAGTATAGTTTTTCATACTTGTAGTTTAGTTTGATACTCTGTATTTTTTGCTTTCTAAACTTGTTGGTGTTTGGTTGTTGTTGTAATTGGTATTATATTACATTGTAATTTCAGATTTCTCAAATTCTTAGGGTTAGAATTTGTTCTACTTTAGCATATTTCATAACAGTTGAAAACTACAATTTCTCACTACAATGGATTACTTAGAGAAAACCTAGTCCATAAGTCAAAAATTATCTGACGTTTTGAATTTAAAAATCAAGATTGTTCATTTTGCAGGCTTGCAGCTAATAAAATGAGTACTGAAAAACCCTTGCTTGAAAGGCTGCTTCTTTTTTATAATGTCCTGTCAAAAATTAGTGTGCCAGAGTTGTGATCTGAAGTTTCCCATAGTCTGTTTAGCTGTTTTATGATATTCAAGTCTTCTAGAAGCCTATGGTTATAGTGTTGCATAATGTATCCGATGCTTCCTAAAAAGACTTCGGGCATTAGCTAGAGAAAGTGAAAATCAACCAATTTCTTAGGTACACGAATGTTAAGCATGAGAATTTCAGTGACATTTAACTGAAATTAACCCACGGAATAAGACATTTTGGTACAAAGAGTAGACTTTAGGTTCTATGTGGTATTAAGGGAAATGAACTCTTGATGCAGATGCTGCATTAATAATTTCTTTCACTCATCCAATAACTTGATTTAAATACGATCAAATGGTGCAATGCCCTGACTTCTAGGTGTAAGTATTTAGTAACATGTTAAGTTACTTTTCCAACAAAAATAGAACACTGACATCTTATTGACATATTAGTGAGCACAAATTAGTTTTGGCAGTATAAGAAAAATTAAAAAAAGGGTCAAAGATTGTGTTATAGTGACAAAATTTTCCACTGAAGCTGACTATTCAGAATTCAGAAATACCATAAAATCTTTAGTTGTTATCATTTGCAGAATATATGAGCTGAATTTTATTTCAACATTTTTTTAATATATGCGAGACTGGATGAATAAAGAAACAAAAACGAGACGTCCGAAATGGGACTTGTTTTGAATTTATGATCCATATGGAAGGCACTTGTAGGCTTGTAGCAAATTCATTAGCTTTATTTTGCTGACTCTTTTTGGTTTTCTCTTGTAGTAGTTGGACTAGGAAAGTTAGCAGTCATTTCTTGCTCTTTACTCATCTTTCTTTTCCAGTCAATACTTTCTGAAGGCTATCAATAACGTTACTATGGTGAGTTATCGCCTGTTCTTTGTTTTATGGTTATTATCATCCATGTGTTCTCAACTATTTATCTCATATTCGCTTGATTTAATTAACTCAACCCATCCTTTGAAAGATGGAGACACTTTAATTTCGGCAGGTGGAAATTTTGAGTTGGAATTCTTCACCCCTGACAATTCTGATAGAAGGTACCTTGGAATCTGGTACAAGAAAATTCCTGTGCAAACTGTGGTTTTGGTAGCCAATCGGGAGGTGCCACTCGAGACTCTTGTGAGTTCTTCAGCAGCCATGCTTAGACTCACTACCGGGTCAGTCCTTGAGCTTGTCAATGGCACAGGTGCTGTTGTTTGGGAAACCAACTTGACAAGAACTGTGAAGAATCCGGTTGCTGAGCTTTTAGACTCTGGAAATCTTGTCATTAGGGATGTGGATGGTGATCATAAAAATGGTGATAGTTTTTTATGGCAGAGCTTTGATTTTCCGTGTGACATCCAGTTGCCTGGGATGAAGCTGGGAAAGGACTTGGTCACAGGGCTTGATCGGTACCTCACTTCCTGGAGAAGTAGCGATGATCCTTCACCAGGAAGCTATACATATCGTCTTGATTACCATGGTTATCCGCAACCAGTTCTGATGAAAGGCCACATGGAGCAGTATAGGAACAGACCATGGAATGGAGTAAGGTTCAGTGGTAGTCCAAGTCTGAAGCCTAACCCTTACTTCACCTTTGACTTTGTCATGAATTCTAAGGAAACATATTATGTTTATGAACTTCTCAATAACTCGGTCATTTCTCATAGGATCTTGAGCCCCTATGGGACCATGCAAAGGCTTGTTTGGAGTGATCATATACAAGGATGGGTAATGTACTTGACTGCGCAGTCTGATAATTGTGATACATATTCTCTGTGTGGCAAGTTTGGAAGTTGTAAGCCAACTCTCCTGAATGTGGGTGTTTGAAAGGTTTCAGTCCAAAATCACCTAGTGATTGGAATTCCGGGAATGGTCAAATGGGTGTGCAAGGAAGACCCCTTTGAGTTGTAATGGAGGAGATAGCTTTGTCAAGTATACCAACATCAAGCTGCCTGATACGCAATATTCCTGGTATAACACGAGCATGAACCTTGATGGATGCAGGAACAAGTGCTTGTCTAATTGCTCCTGTGTAGCTTATGCTAATTTGGATGTAAGGGCAGGGGGAAGTGGGTGTTTGATTTGGATTGATGTCCTGACCGATCTTAAGATTTACCCCGAAAATGGGCAGGATCTCTTTGTCAAGCTAAATGCTTCTGATATAGGTAAGACATTTATCAGAATATGCTGTATGATTAACAGTTTGGTCTATTAGTTGACTATTTGCAGGAGCTCATTATATGTTTGCCTGTTACAATTTGACTTTTTTTTTTTTTTTAAAAAATATATGTTGTTGACAGGAAAGGGGGAAAGGCAAATCTGGATAATATTAAGCTCAATTATTGCTGTTATAATACTCCTGATTTTGTGCACAACACTCTTTTTATGGAAGAAAAGGAATTTCAGGAGAAAAGGTAGCTTTCTGTTTGTCAGTTGCTATGTAGTACATGATGTCTAGAGTTGTGCAGCTGTGCTCTCATTATTTCTGGATTGAGAAGGGAAATAATAGCTTGAATCTTAAGGTGTAGCAGACTAGCAGTAGTAATTCAAGTGTCAAATTAATTATGCTTTATGCAGTATAGTAGTATACAACGTAGTTTATATTTGGCAGTTCTACTATCTAGCAGGAGGAGCTAGAGAAAGTTACATGGTCAATGATGGAGAGAACGCAGAACCGGAGTTGCCATTGTTTGACATCAGTGTTATTGCTGAGGCTACCAATAATTTCTCATATACAAATAGGCTTGGTGAAGGCGGCTTTGGCCCTGTGTACAAGGTATGAGAGGCTTCGAATCTGCATATATGTCTATAGTTGTTTGAATAGTTTGTTGCTTACAAGGAGTTAAAGAGATTCCGATGTTTCTATTTGATGTTGGATGAATTGAACCAATAACAGAAGAAAATGAAAAGATCTTTTCAGTTTGTTTGGGAAAATCTTTTTGATCTTTTACAGCAATACCCAGGGTATGCTGAAATCAAGAAAAGAGATAGCAGTGAAGAGGCTCTCTAAAGAATCAAGGCAAGGACTAGATGAGTTCAAGAATGAAGTTATATGCATTGCGAAGTTGCAGCATAGAAACCTTGTAAAACTCATTGGGATGTTGCATTGAAGGAGAAGAGCGGATGCTAGTGTACGAATGCATGAGCAGCAAGAGTTTGGACTTGTTCATATTTGGTTAGACTCGTTCTTAACTTTCCATCTTGATTTTGGTATTCCAACATTGTTTTTCATTTCACTTACTTTACTAAGGAAAGAAGATTTGACTGTTCAGATGATATGAGAAGTAAGTCTCTGGAGTGGTCCAGGCACTTTCAGATTATTAAAGGGATAGCTCGCGGTCTTCTTTATTTGCATCAGGATTCAAGGTTAAAAATTGTTCACAGAGACCTCAAGGCCAGCAATATCCTGCTAGACTCAGAAATGAACCCGAAATTTCTGATTTTGGTATGGCTCGGAGTTTTGAAGGAAATGAGTGTGAAGCAAAGACCAACAAAGTAGTTGGAACCTAGTAAGCTTCTCCCACCACTTGAATTGTGTGTGTAAACTCTCTCTTTTCATTGTACATTCCATATATAAGCTAACATTATATTTTGTTTCTTTTATGTCCTTCTAGTGGATACATGTCTCCAGAATATGCAATAGACGGGCTCTTTTCAGTTAAGTCTGACGTATACAGCTTTGGGGTACTTGTGCTAGAAATTATCAGTAGTAAGAAAAACAGAGGATTCAACCATCCAGACCACCACCATAACCACCTTGGACATGTAAGAAAGTTAGAAAGCTTTTGCACCTTTCTCTTTTCTTAATGCTTGCATCAATCTAATAATTTCATTCGAGCGAACACAGTCTTGCATTGTTTCATTGTTTAGTAGTTTTGGTCCAATTTAAGATTAAAATCAATAAAAATAAACCCGAAAATGAATAAAAGAAATGGTCTTAAAATAACTACAGATTGTTTGAAAATCACCCCTTTCCTCGGTCTAGCTAGTTCTGAAGCTAACCTTTGACAGTATTGTTTAGGCATGGAGACTTCACAATGAAGGTTTGGCTTCGGAACTTGTTGATCCATCAATAGGGGCCTCCTGCAATACATCTGAAGTACTGAGATCAATACACATAAGCTTGCTGTGCGTGCAGCAAAGCTCTGATGATCGCCCCAGCATGCCGTCTGTTATAGTAATGTTAGATAGCGATGTTGCATTGCCTCAACCAAAGAAACCCGAGTTTTTCGTAGGGAGGGAGTTCCTTGACAAAGAATATTTATCTAGTGCTACAATATCTGGATCACATTGCAGCAATGAGATGAGTATAACAGTCAAGGGTTACTCGAGCTATCCCTTTAATAATCTGAAAGTGCCTGGGCCACTCCAGAGACTTACTTCTCATATCATCTGAACAGTCAATCTTCTTTCCTTAGTAAAGTAAGTGAAATGAAAAACAATGTTGGAATACCAAAATCCTAAACCCTATAACATCTGAACAGTCAAGGGTTACTCGATAGCATTCTTTATACTGTTAGTATATGCTAATAATTAAGTAATACTGTAAGAGGTTAAGGATTAAATTTGTCATAGTTAGCTTGGTCTTGTTTTTAACATAGTTTTCATAATAACTAGTGAGTAGCCCGAGCGTTGCCTCGGGTTGCTACTTTTGTAATTGTGCAATTGGAGTATTTTTTTAAGGATTTTGAAATCTGAAATCGACATTGTTGAATGTGTTTTTTTTTTTAATTATTAAATCATCATGTGGTTTACACTTCGGTCCGTCCATTAGTTCGATGATTCTTATCAAAGCTGTCGGCTATTTAATCCCATCTCTTTCATATTTATAACATGCTTGATAATGGCTAAGATGGTTAAATACAACTTTGTTATAAATGGTTGGGTGTTCGAATCCCCTTTAACTTTATATTTTTATATGAAGTAATGTGGGTTGCTTAGGTGATGTGGCATAACGATTAAGGTTAATTCAGGGATGATGTGACATAAAGAGATGTTGGGTAGGTGATGTGGCGTAATTTAAAAGGATCTATGTGGCACATGGAAGTTTTTATAAACACCTTTTAATATATTAGTATAGATTATAAAGATTCAAGCACAAAAATTTTGAAAGTTTGATCGCATTTTCAGAAAAGTTCGATTAACTTTATTTTATTCTATTCTGTCAACTCATACTTTTAATTGTCCGAACGATATGTTTAATTATGTGGATTATATAAGTAGTTATGCTTAGATCTTCTTTCATTTCTTGTCTTGTCTTCAAATGAGGGATAGAGCGGAGCGGAGGAGAGGGCAAGGCATGACTTTCTTTCTTTCATTTACAATTAGCCAAGTAAGTAACGAATATCTATTTATCTTCCCCTATATTAAATAATCAATCAATATCCATACTAATTACTCCATTTATGGATGTTAATTGTAAACATTAGAAGCCTACCTATTACTACTACAAATACATTATTCCACGCTTATAATTTCAATGTACATTATTTTTATCACCGTATTTTGTGTGCGGCTGACTATATCATGTGGCTGCTTGTAAAAAAAACAAAGTAACCCTTATAATACTGACTGAGTAACCCTTGTAATACTGACTGAGTAACCCTTGTAATACTGACTGAGTAACCCTTATAACACTGACTAAATAACCCCTGTAACACTGATCAAGTAACTCCTATAACATTCATGAAGTGACCCCATGATAATTGTGATCAGCCACATATAAAAGTTGGTGTTTATTTATAAATTTATCATTATTGTCTGTTGTGCACAAATCTATTATATCTTTTCATATATTCTATCATTTTACACACAATTTCCAAATAGCTCAACACTAGATACTTCCAAAACAAACTTTATAGCATTGCACTTGGACATAGGTATGCTAATTAAGTTAGTTATATATCAATTAGTTATCAGCCCATGGTTTGGTTGGTTGTCGATCACTTGATCAAATAAGCCACATGTGCTTAATTGAAGTATATATTAATCTTGTACTCTACTTGATAATTCCCATTTTCTCTAGTATATTCCAGAATTTTTTCTAATGCCAAACCACTAGGCAACAACTCCAAGGCTATTATCAAGTCAGATAATGAGTGGTGTTTCTTGAGGCTGTCCTAATTGATCTTATAAAAACATAGGATGTCAATCACATGGCTGTATCATAAATATAGAGAGTAGTGAGTCGCCAAGTCAGATTCATAACACGTCATATGCACGGTGATATAAGATTGTGCACCTAACTCATAGTTAGACCTGTTTAATGGGCTGGATCTGGGTCGGGTTGGGCTTTAATTAAATGGGCCGGACCAGGCTAGGGTTGAGACAAATTTGAAACGGGCTGGTTCGGTCCATGGACCGCTGGGTCCAGCCCAACTCGACCCTTTCAAACTTTTTTTTAAATTAAATGGGTTTAAATTGTTAATAAATGTTGTCACTTATATGGGCCTTTTAATTTTTTAAAAAAAATTCTTGTCAATTAAATGGGCCTTAGTCAGAAATTTTCAGTAAAATTGTGACAGATTTATTCTTATCAAACCATAGGAGAGAGAAAACTTCTTTCACAAAAAAGAAAAAGAAAAAAAAAAAAAAAGAGAGAGAAAACTCTGCTAGAAACATGGTTGAAGAGGTGACAATGACGATGATGGATTTTGGTTCTAAATTCTCTCTTCTTCATACTCTTTTCTTGTTATTTTTCTCTCTTAATAATTTTTAGTATTTCTCAATTCTCTTATTCAAAGATGAATTTTAAGTTTTCAACTTATTCATCTAGAGATTTTTAAAAAATATAGAGATATTTATAAAATTGGCAAAGTAATTGCTTAGATCTATAAGTTTTTAGAGTTTTCTCTACTATTTTTATTTTTTAAAATTGTTTTAAATTGATATTTTGATTGTGGTGGATGAATAATAAGAGAGGATGAGAGGAAGGGTTCTGCTGTTTAAAGGGTTGTGAAACATTAATGCTTTAATGGTGACCCTTTAAGAGCCCACCACAACCCATTACCAGCCCGTATAATGAAGACCCGTTAAAAGCCGAGCCCTTTTACAAGAGTAAACGGGCTTGGCCTGTTTAAAATAGGGCCGACACAGGGCCTTAAATGGAGCCTCTGTCCATTGAACACGTCTAGTCGTAGTACTCCGACCTCACCCATCATGCGCAGGAGGTGTAAGCTGCCTGTATATTAGACAAAGGTATAGAAGAACTCAAGAATGATAGAAAAGGTGTTAATCGTATTATTGCTTAAAGTACATATACCTACCACTTAAGAGTATTACAATATCTCAAAGTCAACTGATTAATAGGGTTTAGGGTTCAGGGTTGAGGATTCAAGGTTTAGGATTTAGGGTTCAAGGTTCGGGCTTTAGGGTTCAAGGTTTAGGATTTAGGGTTCAAGGTTCGGGCTTTAGGGTTCAAGGTTTAGGGTTTAGGGTTTAGGGGTTTAGGGGTTTAGGGTTTAGGGTTTAGGGGTTAGGGTTAGGGTTAGGGTTTAGGGTTAGGGTTAGGGTTTAGGGTTAGGGTTTAGGGTTCAGGGTTTAGGGTGTAGGCCTTTTCGGGTTTAGGGTTTAGGGTTTAGGGTTCTCTCTAGCTTTACCTGTTTATGATTGGTTTACATACTATGGTGCTTTTGATGTGATGGATTTAAGGGTTATTGTTGGTGGTTTATGCCTTTTCATGTTACTTCTCTCTAGCTTTACCTGTCTATGATTGGTGTAGATACTATGGTGCTTTTTCTAGTGGTTTGTGGTGGGTTACTGGCTGTGGGTATGTTTTTGGTAAGTTGTGTGGGGCGGTTGTGACTATGCTAATGTGTTAATGGTGTGGAAGTGTGGCAATGGTTGATCTGATATTGAGGTTAATGGGGCTGTTGGTGCTTGTCACTATCGGTCTAAGGTATGGCTTTCACATTTTTTACTGGAAAATTTGTACCTGAAACAATGATTTTTTTTTTCTTCCCAATTTTAGGCCTTATGGATATTAATTTATCTCTTCTCGTCATTACATAGTTTATAAGACGATTGGTTTGCATTTTGATTAGAGTTGTATCCTATAGCTATGATTCTCCATGTCTCTATAGTGCATTGGTGGAGCGTCGGTGGCAGGCAGCGGGTTTTGCTATTTCTATATGTTTTGTTATGAAAAACTGGAAGAAGTGTGGTTTTAAAATATTTTCATATAACTTGCCAAATTAATGATCTCTGTTATCTCTTAGGCAAAGAAAAAGTTGTCACAGTAAAGATTTACACTCTTTCTTAGATAAAGTTCGTTAAATGATTGATAGGCCCCCTTTGGAACAGAGTAATAAACCTGCTGGTTACCTTATAATTTGTTTGATAAAGAACTACTTTAATGAAGACTTTCCTGATTAAAAAGTGAGACCTGCCATTTAGCTTAGCATTGATTAAAAGTGAGATTAGTGGTCATTGCATTACATGTTTTATGTAAAAAACGAATTAAGGGAATTGTTTAACTATGGAATGAGATGAGATAATATGTGTATTGGATCCATGAACTTAAGCTATGAATTAAGCTAAGCCAATAGTTGACCCCTCCTTCACTTTTAAGAGGTTAATAGTTTCACCTTACAACTATTATAACAGACTACTATACCTTTGCTCATCATCATGTATATGGATGATAATTGTTAAACTTTTCATTATTGCATTGGTTGTTTAGTCCCTCCTTTTATTGATCTCTATGCAATCTTCCTCTCCATGACAGCATCCACAGAATACTAAAAAGTAAAAAGTATATTAGTCGTTCTCTTGATGATCTTTCTCCTCCAATAGTGGAAGCTGACATATTCTATATATTCTAATTTAGTATATAGGGGTGATTAGTAACGAAACATTTGACAGAAATGGATGATTTATATAAAAGGGTTTAGTGACAGTAATGAAGTAATCAATTGAGATTGAAATGCTGATGTTATTGACAATACATTAAAACTTAAAAAAAAAATAGGAGAATAATAGTACTCCGTATGAAGGTGAAAAGTTGAATATATTCTCAGATTTTATTTTTTATTTTTGGTCAGTTACAAACTTCATTAGTATGGAAAATAAATTATAGCTACTCCATCTATAATTATGGACATTGTTTACAAATATATTTTGGGCCATTCATTAAGACCATTGAATTATTTAGCATAATTCAAGGTAAAAATTAATCTATGATTAATGAATCAAATAATGACTTGGTGGTAAAAATTGCTATTGTTATCACACTGACATGCAATTGCTTATTTGGTGATCTATCAATTACTAAAGTGACACATGGCAGAATAATACTCCTTGCTTTGTAATTTTAATAATACTATTGACTATTGATTGATTGATTGATGTGAAGAGTTTAAAGTTATTGTGGAACTGTTACTTTTGAAAACTTAAATATGTTTTCTTACTAGAATTATAACTTACAAGCACAATTGACTGATCTCAATGATTGCAAATGAATAGTTCCTCGTGTATATTGTGCATGCTATGTATGTTTTGGTATGTTCTTTTATTTTATTGTATACACTATGAAAGGTTGTGCATCTATATGATTTTTCTTTAAAATGGTTCTCGCTGTATCTATGTGCTTTAGCGATGTTCAAGGAATTGGTCCAAATATCTGAATGTTTTCAAAATGATCAAGTGTACTCAGAGCCTGTCATGATCTAGACCTTTCAATTCCATGGATGTATTTGCAGGTCTTTTTGGTCCTGGTCAGATGCAGAAGCCTTTTGAAGAAGCAACATTTGCTCTAAAAGTTGATGAGATAAGTGACATTGTCGAGACTGACAGTGGAGTCCACATCATCAAGAGAACAGAGTGAGTTGCTCAAGTGACAAACAATTACCTACCAATGTTGTTCAGCCTGCCTGCTGTTCTAATTGTGTGTTGTTTAATTGACTTGAAATTTTCAAGAAGATAAGTGCCTTTGTTCTGATGAACTCTAGATGGGATTTAAAGCTGGACCATGTTGATCCAGTGATAATGGTTCTTTACTTTCACATGCTTGGTTTCTTTTTTGTTTGAAAAAACTACTGTAGCTTGTTCCTTTTTTTACTCCTATTTTATCATTAAAGATTTGGTCCTTTTCTTTATTGATAGTAACTCATTCCATTCTTTTTTGTTACCCATTGGCCAATTCGTTTCCTGAAACTTTCTACGTTGCCAAAATTTACCCTTTATTGTCATAATCTGAAGGTGGATAAAGAACATAATGGATATACCTAGATTTGATATTGCATTGAAAATTTGAAGGACATTACAAATTTGCTTTGTTGATACTCAAAATGTTCTTATAACTAGGGCGGAAAGCTCGCGAATTGCCTAATGGATATAGCATGTAATGAAAGATTCTTATATATTCATGATATAAAGGCTGATATTCTTTGAATTAGAAAAAAATTGAAGTTGATTTTACTTAAAATAAAGGCAAAATTAAAACTAATAATCCCACTTTTGACTCATGTTCTCAACCCTAACCTACCCTTGCGTATTTTGGAGATAATTTCACCTTTATACTCTATTATCAAAATGAGCCTTTTACCTCTTAGTGAAATTGGTAACTTGTTTAGAAGGTATTTTTCCATGTGTTGTTTTCTAATTGGTTATTATTAAAAAAAAAGGGAATAAACAAAAAAAAAGTGGGTGGTACCATCCAATTTGCTTTAAAACGGTCAATTTACCCATCCAAAACTTGCACCGATTTCGTGAACTCAAACCTACCACGGACATTTACGACAACATTTATCTGTTATATATGATTCCAAAAGGCATTATATGACCATGAGATTTATTCCCTAGGGCCTCAAGACTTTTCGCCACCGGCCCCGTGTCCTCCGAAATTCCTCAAAAAGCGTAAATAATAGCCTTTAATATTGGAATTTTTAGAACTTTTTTCGCCTGAAAAAAAAATTGCCTAGATGTTTACTATGATCCCTAATACCCACCGAGAGTATAATTAGGTGGGTGAAACCATCCAATTAGCCTTAAAACGGTCAATTTACCCGTTCACAACTTGCACCGATTTCGTGAACTCAAGCCAACTACAGACATTTATGACAACATATAATGGTCATAAATGGTTCCAAACGCCATTATATGACCCTGATATGTATCCCCTAGGGCCTCAAGATTTTTCTCCACCGGGCCCCGTGTCCTCCGAAATTAAGCGTGGATAATAGCCTTTAATTTTTGAATTTTTTGACCTTTTTTCGTCCGGAAATAAAAATTGCCAAGATGTTTAGCATGGGCCAAAATACCCCCCAAAAATCCAATTAGGTGGGAGGAACCATCCAATTTTCCTTGAAACGGTCAATTTACCCTTTCTCAACTTGCATCGATTTCGTGAACTCAAACCTACCACGGACATTTACGACAACATTTAATGGTCATATATGATTCCAAACAGCATTATATGACCCTGAGATGTATCCCAAAGGGGCCTCAAGACTTTTCGTAATCGGGCCCCATAACCTCCAAAATTCCTCAAAAGCGTTCAATTTTGGAATTTTGGACCTTTTTTCAGCCA